ATAAGTCGGGGAGAAGCGGGAGAGAGCGGTGGATCCTGCGACTTGTTTCTGGTGTGCGGTATACATTGTACGCATGTTGCGCCCACGAGGCGCCCACGTGTGGCATCGTGGCGAAACCTGGCGGAATCCAAACAGCGCACGAAGCGACAACGAAGTGGCCACGGGCTGCTATGTGGTGAAACATCGCAGGGTCCACCCATCGCACGAGGCGGCCACGGGCGGCAACGTGGTGAAACCTCGCTGGATCCACCCAGCGCGCGAGGCGACTACAAGGCGGTCATGGGTGGCAACGTGGCGAAAACTGGCCAGACCTACCCAACGCACGAGGCGGCCAAGAGGCGGCCACAGGCGGGAACGTGGCGAAACCTTGCTGGACCTACCCAGCGAACGAGCCACGAGGCGCCTATGGGCGGGAACGTTGCGAAATTCCTCGACGGACCCATCCAATTCCTTAGAGGCATTAAGCAAGACACCCTGAGTGCAGGTACTGTTCGGAGAACGGCGAGAGGGAGCGATGAATAACATCGTATAACATGCCACCAGCACTAGGAGGATACACATACATATGCGTACATACACATACACATACATATAGACACATATGTATACATATATGCTTGTGAACATGTATATATACACATACACACACCGCTCGTACACAGATGGGCTCCACGAGGGTCCCTACGGGCCTAGAAGGGCGCACATGAATGATATATCTCTCATATGCGCACATGGGGCGACATATGTACACAGACACAGACACGCTGCGCAAGCAGTCGTCGAGAAATAGAGATACGTAGCACTCCGCAGTTGCGGATAAGAGTGAGGGGGCGGCGAGGACGTTTTGAGTCTGCGAGGCTCTGAAGAAACCCGCCGCCGGCGCCCAACTTATACAAATTGTGCGTTTAGCCCGACGCCGCGGCCGATTTCTTCGTTCAAGCAGTGTGGATGGATCGCGGGGTGGGTCGCAGGTGGGTCGCGGGCCGGGTCGCGGGTGGGTCGCGCGAAGGTCGCGTATGGGTCGCGGGTGGGTCGCGGGATGGGTCGCGGGGTCGGCCGCGGGGTGGGTCGCGGGTGGGTCGCGGGTGGATCGCGGGGTGGGGTGGGTCGCGGGGTGGGTCGCAGGGTGGGTCGCGGGTGGGTCGCGGGCGGGTCACGGGGTGGGTCGCGGGCGGGTCGCGGGTGGATCGCGGGCAGGGTCGAGGGGTGTGTCGCGGGGCGGGTCGCGGGCGGGTGGGTCGCGGGGTGGGTCGCAGGGCACGGGGACAACAACAACAACAACAACAACAACAACAACAACAACAACAACAACAACAACAACAACAACAACAACAACAACAACAACAACAATTACTAGCACGTGGGGACACTCCGTTCTCACCAGTGCCAGGGTTTTCATAGGAGGCGGGCAATACCCCCACTTTGTGGGGGGGCCGGTTCAAGCTCTACCAAATTTCCAAACGACTCTTCGCCACCACCCACACCCAGCTTCCCGCCCTATGACGTTCGGACACTTCACTTCGTGGCATGCGGACGACCGTGGCTACTATTCAGGGCCCCGCGGCCGACGACGACGGCGTACGACGACGAGGGCCCCGCGGCCGACGACTGGCAGGCGCGCGAACGCCGTTGAAAGAGCGTGCGAAAGTAGCTCGCGCGAGCTCATGTAACATAAATGTTGAAACACCATTTGTTTTTAAGGATTCGGACAGCGCGCGCGGGTAGAAGTTTGGAAAATCCGTGCACGTGTTTTTTGAGGACCTACGGTGCGATTCGTGCGATTTTATGATACGCGGTGCTGAAATTCTTAAGAAACCCAATGGTGTTTGAAGATTTCGGCGTGCGCGCGCGAAGAAAAAACGAATGTGTCCCATATGGTATTATTTGACAGGGATGATGGCCCTGGCATGCGCGCAACCGTTGTTGCAGAAGTTCGAAGCACGTGAAAAAGTTGCTCGCAAGAGCCCGTTTGACAGAAATGTTGAAAAAGTATTGGGTTTCCTAAGAAATCCGCAAGAGCGCGCGGGATGAATTTTTGAAACTTTTTTTTTGAAAAACCATTGGGTTTTTCATGTTTTTATGTTAAAATCGCTACGAAAACTAAGGTTTTGGAAGGATTTCATCTTGCGCGCGCGAGTGTGCACTTCGTGTCATTTGTTGCAAAGGATTCTTGAAGTTTGGTTATGTTAGAACAAGACATGTCATTTTATATTGTTTTTTGACAGGGAAAGCGGGCGTCAACAAAACAACCGGATCCGGACTCCCCCGTTTTGCCTGAGACTTCCTCACGAAAATGATGAAAATGTGGCTGCGGCCTAGGCGCGGCGAGGGGGGCGTGCACCAGGGGGCCCAACAATAATTATTCTTTAGAAGTAATAATATTCAACAACAACAACAACCATGTTAAGGCTGTACGCTCTCACTTGCCCGCGAGTCATTCAACACGTATACCCTACACCCTCGATGCCCGCCCTCTTCGTCTTCGATCACACCCCTTTCGGGGGGATTATTTCTCTTTGCTGGGGCCGGCGGGCTTAGACGTACGGGCAAACCGGAACGGGCGGACAATCCTTCGGGGGCGTACATCTCTCTGCCCGCCATTGGAATTGGCGCGGGCCCTGCAAGAGGAGGAGGGGAAGAACGAGGGAGAGTGGGAGGAAGGGGAGGGGGAAGGACGAAGGAAGAGGGAAGATACCACGTTGTGAAGGCGTCCTTGGCGCGTGCGTGGTTCCTGAGCGCCGAAACGCAATTCCAGAATAATTTGTGAGGACGTCGCACGCGAGAGCGCAGTCCTGAGTACATTGTGAGGAAATCTCAGGCGGAAGCGGGGGCCCTGACTAAGTTGCGAGGAAGTCTCAAGCGGGAGCGCCGTTCCTGAGCAAATTGCACGGAAGTCTCAGGCGGGAGCGGGGGTCCTCACTAAATTGCGAGGAAGTCTCAGGCGGGAGCGCCGTTCCTGAGTCAATTGCGCGGAAATGTCAGGCAGGAGCGGGGGTCCTGAGTAAAATTCGAAGAAGTCTCAGGCGGGAGCGCCGTTCCCACGTAAATTGCACGGAAGTCTCAGGCGGGAGCGGGGGTCTTGATTACATTGCGAGGAAGTCTCAGACGGGAGCGCCTTGCCTGAGTAAATTGCGCGGAAGTCTCAGGCGGGAGCGGGGGTCCTGAGTAAAAATCGAGGAAGTCTCAGGCGGGAGCCGTTGTTGTTGTAGCCCGGGGGGCAGGGACAGAGTTTGAGCAGGAAGACTTGAGAAAAAAACAAGGTGCGAGCCCCGGGGGTGGCACTTCAATTGAAAAAAATCAATGTGCACCGGTGGGGGGGGATCAACAATAATTATTCTTCAAGAATGAGAGTTCAATAACAACAACAACCACAACAACAACAACGACAACGACAACGACAACGACAACAACTACAACAACGACAAAAAGGACAACGACAAAAACAACAATAACAACAACCAACGACCAACAACCAACAACAACAACAACAACAACAACAACAGCAACAACAACAACAACAACCACAACCACAACAACAGCAACAACAACACTCACAACAACACCAACACCAACAACAACAACAACAGTTGCAGCAACAACAACATCAGCAGCAACAGCAGCAACAACAACAACAACGCAACAAGCATTATCCTCACCACGGATCCCCACTAGAGCCACGCACCCAGGGACAATACATGACTGTTCGGCCCCCGCACTCTGACATATAGAAGTGAGAAAGAGAAAGAGAGAGAGAGAGAGAAAGAGACAAGGATATACAAGTACACACCTAGAGAGAGAGGACCGGTATGGACAAGGATGCCGAGAGGGGAAAGCGGGGTATGGGGGTGATGCGGAGGAGTGAGGAGGGGTAAGATGGGGCAGGATGAGGACGAGAAGGAATATGAAGAAAGGGACGAGGGAGATCAGAAGGAGGACGGGGTGATAGAGGGGAAAACGATAGGGGGCATTCACAAGAGGTGGGGGGTCAGAGAAGAAAAGGGACGAGGGGGGGAGAAGAAGTAGGAGGAGGTAGACGAGGATGTTCCAGAGTGCGTCACCTCAAACACTCCGCGGTTCGAGGCCGATCTGTTGCGCTGGGAAAGAAGCGGCACGATAATAACGGGAAAAGGGAACACGGAGGAGTAGGAAAGGGATGTTAGGCGCAACGGAGCTTCGCTTACTTGTTTCGGCGTAAGGTAAAGGATAGGCAGGATAATGAGGAGGACAGCTACTGGAGGAGGATTGGAGGAGCAGGAGGAGAGAATGGAGAGGAATACATACATGGATCAACTTACACTTCCAGAGGTCCATGCAGATTTCTTGAATCGGCGCTGGGCCCCCTCTCTGGCCACGCGGCGCTGTCGGCGACGTCGTCTTGGGAGGTCTCTTGTGCAATGTGCTTCCCGCCTCTAGCGCCTCTGCTTCCGCCTCCATCCCTTCCTCCCTTAGACAAGCGCGCTCCACTACTCGCGAAGTAATTACTCGCAAATGGCCTGGATCCGCCGAGGTGGATTTGCGATCCATCACACAGGGGCAGGCGTTTTTGTTTCTGATGTTTGCGAGCAGGCACCTTGCGAACAGTGGGACGCGCTCGGCGATCCCTCCCTCGTCCCCCTCCCGCCTCCCTCCTCCCTCCCTTCCTGCTCCCTCCTCCTCCCTCCTCCCTCCTCCGTCCCTTCCTCCCTCCACCCCTCCCCGTGCTCAGCGAGCTCGCTGCACCACCCCGAGCACCTTCTCCCCACCCACCCGCCCACGCACCGAACCCCCCAGGCGTGCACGGGGCTTGGCATCTCTGCCTGTCTATGTCTGCGGGCGGCGCGCCCAGGGGGAAGTGAGAGGGAGAAGGCCTTCTCCTCCTTCTCCTCCTCCTCCTCATCATCCTCTTCTTCCTCCTCCTCCTCTTCCTCCTCCTCCTCCTCCTCCTCCTCCTCCTCCTCCTCCTCCTCCCCCTCCTCCTCCTTCTCTTCCATCGCTCATTCTATCTCACCCCTCCCTCCCTCCTCAGAGGTGGCGGGGCTTCTCAGAAGCCCTCCGGCCTCCTGAGACATTGCCTGTGTCTTCGGGGGAAGGCTTTCAACAACTCTGGCAGACCACACGGCAGAACCATACACTTTTGTGTCGCTCCGCGCGGAGCTCTTGGATCTGCTCTGGGACCCGCCTCCCTGGCGCGCGGAGCGCGCCAGGGAGGGCGCCGGAGGCGCGGCCCGGAGGTCCCAGCGCATATCCAAGAAATGCGCGCGGAGCGCCACAAGCTTATGTTTATCGCATGTTTTTGTTGCCTCGGATCTTCTCGGGAGGCCGAAGGCCTTCCGAGCCTTCTGAGGAGGCCCGCCCCCGGCCTGGCGCGCCGCGGAGTATGCTCCCCAGCGGCGCCGTCGCTCTCGAATCGGGGATGGACAAACCCCCCTTTATCAAGTTGTTGCTTAGTGAAAGCGACCTCGGGCCCAAACCTGGCGGGCGCAAGCCTGGAAAGTAACGGCCGCGGCGCCCTCTCGAGAACCGAAAACGGACAAATCACTCATCGACGTGTCGTGGCAGGAGGTCTGTCCACCCCCGATCGAGGCTCGTCGCCGCGGCCGGGCGCGGCCCCTGGGAGGAGCTCCGGGGGCCTGCCTCGAGCGGAGCCGACTCGGGCGTGGGGAGGGGGGCCTTCGAGCTCGACACCACCTCCCCTCGTGTGAAGGGGCCCTGGGGCACACAAACAAACACGCACACATAGCAGGATTCCCCATAGTTTCCCATATTTTCTAAGTTTTTGTTGTCTTCCCCCCCACTTCCCATATTTTTCCATATTTTCCTGGGGGATCGACGATGAGTTGTGTCTGTGTTTTTTCCCTCCTGATCGTGGCAGAGCATCACTCACGAGCAGCGAACATGTCCAGATCTGCGCCCTCGCTATCGGAACTCCAAGGCGCGATCCCGCGGACACGCGGTCGCACGGATACGTTCCTCGCGGGGAGTCCGCGAAAAACACACGCTCCATGTCCGCGGGGTCGCAGCCCGGGGGCCCGGCCCGCGAGGCCGCGGATCTGGATGTATAATGCTGTCGCCCACGAAGCACGACTCGCCGGACCTCGAGACCGTCGAACGGCGATGGAGGACGAACAAAGCGGCCCTGGAAAAAGAGTCACGACCTCTGCAGTCGACGCTGCGGACAAAAAACGTCAGAGCTCTTGGATGGCAAGGAAGCTCCCTACTGGCACAAGGGCTCCCGAGAAGGCCTCTCAGAATGCCCCGCGGGCTTCGGAGAACCGCCCCGCCGTCCGCAAAATCTCCGACGCCGAGAGCCTTTCACAGCGTGAAGACCCAGAAGATAAGAGTTGTCTTGCATGGCATTCCCCCCAACACGAAGCCCTTTCAAACAACTCTGGGCCCAAAAGACGTGTACGTGAGTCCCGCACGGCGTGAAATACAGTTTCCTTTCGGGCCTCGTCTCCCTCCCCCCCGTCCCCCGCTTGATCCCTCCATGCAAGTAAGACTGCCAGAATCTAAAGAGTAACTAAGCGTTACAGTGAATGTTGTCCTGTTCGGCGTTTCGGCATTGAGCGAAGGGTGGGGGGGAAGGGGGGGTCTCGGCTCCAGACCTCTGCTTAGCGCGACTGTTTGGAACAATGCTCCCAATCCTACATGGGGAGGCGGGCCCCCCGTGCCTGCTCCCCCCGCTTGAAACAGGCGCCCACAAACAGGTAAGGTCTACTCCTCAGGGGGGGCGGGGGGCGAGGGCCCACGCCGATGGGCAAAACAGCCCAGACGACAACGATCACCACGCACCCCTTCCCTGGGAGCCGTGCTTCCTCCAGAGATGCTCTGTGAACGGCCCCCCCGCGGCCCGGCGAGGCGCTCCCGGAGGTGGGACACGCTCGATATAACCTCCCCTCGCCATGCTGCCGCCTCGAGAAGGGCATTCGGCTATTCTCTCGGGCCTCCGGCGACAATTCGAGATTCTCCGGGCACGCTTTTGGCAAGGCGCAACTGCCGCAGAACATCCAGAGGCTGGCACAAATCTCCAGGACGTCAGGGAACATCGAGCCTCGAGCCTCGAGCTTGCTGGACCAAGGTGTGGTGTCGAAAGCCTGAGGGAGGGGGTGGGGCGAGGTGGTGTGCCTCATATACTTGACCCACCACCTCGTGCCACCGAGACGGCTCCGACGACCACCTTGCGCCACACTGCCCCGACGAGAAAACCCGCGTCCTCTCTGAGGGGGTGGCGCGCCGACGTCTCTGCGACCGAGCCCTGGGCTCCGAGGCGGCGACGCCAGCGGCGACGAAGAGGACGGCGACGGCAGCGACGACGAAGGCGTCGAAGACGGCGACGCCGACGAAGACAACGACGCCGGCGGCGGCCGGCGGCGGCGACCGCCACGGCGACGCTGGCGTCGAGGAAGGCTACGCCGACGAAGACGGCCACGCCGACGGCGACGGCGAGCGCCAGGCGGGCGGGCGGGCGCTCCTGAAGCCGCCGCAGGGCGCGGACCGCGTACGCGGCGGCGTGGCCCGCGCCTGGCCCGCGCCTCCTGCGCCGCCTCCTCCCGCTGCCGCTCCTGCTGCCAGCTGTTGGGTTCGACCCTCGAGGGCCGAGGGCGAGGGGCCTCCCAAGCGTTAGGTCGGGCATGCCCCCCTGCAGGCTGATTCTGGAGGAAAATAAAAAATACAAAACAAACTCTTAAATTGAGGGAGTGGATTGAAAAAAATCGTCCCCAGACGATTCTTTGACTACTTTCGAATATCCTCCTGTAGAGGGACATGCCCGACTTAGCCCATGCCCCAGTCTCCCCAGTCTCCACAAGCCCCACCGCACCTGCACCCTCGCACTCGGCATCTCTGAGAGCCGCGAAGTAGCATCAGCCCCACACCACAAGGAACGACACGAAGAAAACAGAGCACGTCTGGGAGCCCCTCGCCGCCATGGTAAACAAATGAATAAGATGGGCTGAGCCAGGTTCCCTCCATCAGCCGCAACCTTCTTTTATGGCACGTCATTTGCCCCCCTGTGCGATACTGTAGCGCCTCGTTCAGAGCACGCGGATCGAGGTGCCCGTGCTCGCCAACTGGGACGAGAATCCAGCGACACAGGACGTCGTGCAAGGCCAGTTTTCGGCGCGACGGATCCATCTTGGTGAAAAAAGGTCCGACTGTATGCGACCACGGGGAAGCCCACCGGGCCTGGGACCCCACCGACGACAAGAAACGTCTGATCACTGCGAACTCCACCTGAAGAGGCCGCCATTGACCTTCGCGGACCTCCGGGTTCAGGACCTGGGGCGGGAGCCGACGTTACAAGGCCCTGTGCTCGCGCCAGATCCTGCTCCTCCTCCACCTCCGTCGTCGTGTCTTATCACCGAACTGGGGCGATCTCTCATCTGGGCCTCCCCTCCTTCTTCCCTCTCGCCCACGCCCTCAACGTGCTCGTCGATTTTTTCTCCACTCTTCCCCTCTCCCCCTCTTCATTCATCCTCTCTCCCCCCGCTTTCCCATCTGCCCCCCCCCCCCCCTCGCGATGCTCCCCTCCCACCTCGTCCTCATCCCCCGTACTTCCCCATCCTCTTGTTGTGTTTTTTCCTCCTCCCCCTCCTTGTCCTCCTCCTCCTCCTCCTCCTGCTCCTCCTCCCCCTCCTCCTCCATCCATCCCATCCTCCCTGCCTTCCTCCTGCTGTTGCTGCTGCTGCTGCTGCTCCTCTTCCTCCGAACATGGAGAACGCAGGTCGCTCCCATCGTCTCCCCCCCCCCCCCGACTTTCACCTCCCTTTCCCTCCTTTCCTGTTACTCCTCGTCGCCCTCATCGTCCGAGCGAGGGGGCCGAGCGGTCATTCTCGGCCGCGATGAAATGCACCGTCGGGACAGCCGCCTCCACACTCGCAGCCGCGAACACAGAAGGGCCCATCGTCGCGGCGACCTCCCTGACGCAGTGGCGCGAATTCTCCTGGTGGGGCCCGCCCAAGTGCCGGCAATTATCGCGCGCATCCTCCTTCACGCACAGTTTCTGTCAGCGACATCACACCACGGGCCTCGAGCCATGTTTGCTGGTCTCCGAACGCTGCGGATCGAGCATTTCTTTCGTGGGTCCGTCGTGGACCGCCCCTACCTTGGCCAGCGTTGCCAAATTCGCCCGCGCGAACCGCACTCGTGTCCTTGTGTCCCCGCCCCCGGCTGGCCCAGGCAAACCTTGAGCGTCTGCGGCCATGGTTTCGCCAATGGGCTCCCATGGCCCCGGCTCCCAAATCCGTTGCCGCCACTGCGGCCATTTCTGCCGCGACCGCCGTCGCCGCCCTCGGGCGCGCCCCCGCCTCCATCGGCTGATCGTCGGCCCCTGGCGCGTCGCTCAAGTCCTGACTGCCAGGCGCCTGCGCCGCCGTGCGACTCTGCATCTCCTGCGGTGGGATGCGCGCTGAAACCGCCATGCTGAGAAAGTTCTGGCCAAAATTGCCATTAAACTTTCCGTGGAACTCTACAGCTTCGCTGCGTCTGGCAAACTCCTCGCCGTCTTGCCCGCCGCGATGCCTTGGCGATTCAGCGCGGCGCAGGCATCGCGAATCGCGACTTTCCGTTCGTCCAACCCACGCGCCCTTGATCCTCTGCAAATCGAACATCTCGCGCGCACGCGCGATGGCAACACTCACCATCGCAAAACCCCGGAAGGACGCGATCTTGAACGCATTGGCCCGACCCGTAAGAACCGGCACGCCGCCGCCTTGGTCGGTTCGCGAATCTGGCGCCGGCCGGCGATCCAAGCCGCGCGGCGAACAACCCATGGAAACAACGCATCACATGGAACAGTACGAGAGAGAGCCGAGCCCGAAAGTCCGATCGCAGCGCGCGAAAATGACCCTGGAGGGATCGATGGAAACTCTCCACTTCTCCAACCTGCTCGCGCCCTGCTCTCGCGATGGTCTGCTCCGTCGTCGTGGTTGGCCTGCGCGTCTGGGCCATGGTCCACCATGCCCGTCAAACTCGTCTCGTCATCACTCCTGACCGCAATGTCTGTTGCGTCGAGGCCCTCAGATGGCGCCAGGGGACATCGCGGGGCCGCCCCCCCCCTTCTCGGACACCGCCGCGGCGCCCCCTGCTCCACTGCCAGCGCCGACCATCAAGAGGCGCGCGGCGCTCCTCTGAGACTCGCCACAGTAACCTCCGACAATGGACTGGGGATCGCACGCGCGGCCGGCGCCTCTCCAGCGCCCGTGTCCACTCTTGCCCGCGCGCCCCCGAACGAGCGGGGAACTGGTTGAATACTCTCAGGCGTCACCATCGCCACGCTGAGGTACCGCGGACAGACCGCCCGCCGTCACCTTCGATCTCCATCGTAGCTGACCAGCACCGCTGGATGCCTGTTGAGCTCAACGCGACTCACCAAGCCAAAGATGACCAACTCGTCGCCGCCACGATGCATTGTTCCGATGGGGGCATGGTATTATGCTGGTTCTCTCGGGCAGGTGTCCACCCTGAAGTAGTGGGGAACGTCCGATTTGCAATCGTCCCAGATCAGCCTCACTCTCTCGCCGTCTCTCCCCCTCCCAACACCTGCAGCCGTTCCCCGCGACATGCACGTCGAAACCACTGCGTGGCAAGCTGGTCATTGAGGACGCGTTCTTGTCAACGTCGGAGACGCCCGTCCTGACCGTGCTCGAGACCTGCCCTCTGCCTGACATGATATTGGGACCCACGACCTTCTTGCCGCAACTCCTGGTCGCTCCCTCTTGGATGCCCCAGAGCTCGGCCTCCAGTGTCGCCGATGCCGCAGCGGGAGTGACAGCCCTCCTGCAAGCGTCGCTCTGGCTGCCTGAATGAAGAATCACGCGCGCGACGCGCAATGGATATTGGTTCTTGGTGCTGGGGTCGCTGTCACCGATTCCGTGCGCCCACAGCTTCTCTGCGCGATTGTCGAAGGAAACTGCTGCCACCAGGTATCGTCCTCACCCATGGGTCCGTAGCCCCATTCGTCGTAGCCGCTTATGGGGATGGCTGGCCAGTCCTCCTCGCTCGTCAGCTCACCTGCTTCGTAAAACAATTCCTCTTCTGCAGTGAATCTTGCGAACGTTCTCGTGGCCGTCGCTGATGACAAGGGCGGCGCTGACGCTCGAGGCAAAAATTGCACTGATGATCTTGGCGTAGCTCTCAAAGCTGCGCCATGCTGCTGGGCAAGTGTCGTGTGCAGCGCGGCCAATGACGATTGCGTCTGAAGCAACGCTCCACCGCGCATCCGATTCGGACACTGGGGCTCGCGAGGCCCAACTGCCAGCATACTCCGCAGCATTCCTGGACAGGGCCCGTGAGACTGAAGCCGTTGCTGACGTTGAGGCTTTGCCTGCCGCCGCTGGAGTCCTCGCGGCCGTCCTTGTTCTGGCCACTGTAGCCGCTCTTGCCGCTGTGGTCGTGGGGTCTGTTCTACCGTAGCTGTTCCTGTCGCAGTTGCCTCCATTTTTATCGACTCTGCCGGTCTGCAGCGCTGAGCTGCCCTGCTGTGGAATTGCTGTCGTTGGCAAAAAAAAGTATTCACAACCATTGTGGGACGAGCTCGTATTCAACGCAATGTTATGCAGCGCACTCAAAATGGGGTGAGAACTTATATGCAAACCTTATATCGTCGTCCATTTGGCGGGTTCGCGGTTCCTCCGTTTGCCGCGCCAGGTCCAACCATCTAGCAGTCCACCTTTCCGAAATATTCGCCTGCCGCTGGCCTGCTATTCACGTTTGCCTCCAAGAACGAAGTGGGGGGCCCGCCCGCAGCTGGCCAATATGCCACGGGCAGCTACCTCCACGATTGAGATCCGTTGTCGGCCTCCGCGCTTGCGTTGGCGATGTTGATGACCCGCCCAGCGAACGCCGCCGTGAACAGTCGATCTTCACCTCGAGACAAGAAGTTTTGGCGGGAGCCAGAACACATGGAACGCGTTTCCGGCGCGCCCGCTGCTGACGCCAGTCGCGTCCTGGCCCCACCTTGCAGGACTGTAGAAGTGGTTCGCGAAAGTATACTGCAACTCTACGGAACGCTGGCCGCTGCTGTCAAAATGCCAAAATTGGCGGAGGCTTTTCGCGGCGAGGTGCCCGGCCATCCATAGCTGGATGGAATCCGCGTCCGTAATCTCCGACTCCATCCCAGGCCCTGTCATGCACTATCAGCGTGCGCGTGCGAGAGGTAGTCCGCTTGGGCTCATAACCTCATTACGATGTCTGTCAGATGTCAAGGTGGCTGCGCAATGAAAGCGCCTAGAACCTTTCTGTGTCAACTCCTCAAAACCAAAAAAAAACGCTCGCACATATCATGCTATGAACTCGGAGCCATGCCGCAACACTGCCGAGATCTTAGAGCTTGACGCAACATGCCCCCGAAACGGTTTCCAGTGCCCGCCGAACCGTCGCAGGACGCCCCCCCCCCCCCCCCCCCCCCCAAGATGCCGCCGAATGGCTCTGACACCTGGTGGGCATCAATGTGGTTTGCTTTCTCGCTGTTTCGTGTCCGACCGATGAGCTTTTGAAGCCCCAAGATGCCCCGCGGGGATCCA